TTGGTCACTCCTTTTCTCTTATCTGACACAAGTTGCTCCCCTGATGTACGCATATCTCTTGCCCATAAACTTAGCTATCTCACCAATAATTATGAGTTACACCAAGGGCATATATACACAGTAAGCTTCCAGATTTCAATATACTCCGCATCTAGCTTGACATGCTTGCCATCTCCCATTGCAAAAGAGATACCATACACCATATTTTTATCATTTTTCTAGGACAATTATATTATTAGTTAATCCTAAATAACTAAACAGAGAAAAAAAATTTACCCCACAAAAGATTATTAAAACAGACATCCAAAAACAAACAATTTCAAACAAGCTGCACAAATGATTACTTTCTTTCAAAGAAAACTCACCCAATACTTTTCACGATTCGAACAAGTTTTTCCCTAAATGTAAATAGTGTAACAAGGAGAAGTTGTAAGTGGATTGCAGTACTGATTCCATGTCATTCGTCTCTAGTGATCTATTTAAAAAGAGTCTTCTATCTCATGCTCTTCATTGCTGACCCTTTTGAAATGCACCTTCATTGAGGATTGTCTTCTCTAATATATCTAATTTCTCCAAGTCTCAAGTGCTAAAAGTATTCATCACTGTTCATTATTTACCCCCAAAAAATATCCCTCTGTTCAAGTGCTTTGAGACAAGAACATCTCTTTTACATTTAAATTGACCACACTTATTTATTCACCGACAGCTGCCATTACTTGCCTAAACTTCAATGTCAGACCTAAAAAAGCTACCACATGGCATTCCAACCCCCTCTAATTTTCACCAAACTCTGTTAAACTTCAATCACAAGGTCATACATTCTTCACTGTGATCTCTATGAACTCCAGTAGTTTGTCATATTCCTCGATATAGAAGTAGCAAAATGGTTCTTATTTTTTGGTAGCCAAAACCAGCAGAGAAATGGCTTTGCGAATGGTCCGCTAAGTGTAATTCTATGAATTCAGCCATTTATTTTCTGGACATTCAATTGTCTTCAGAAGCATGTGCTACTACAAGTGTCCCTTACATCCTACATATCTTCAACTAAAACCCACATGAAATAAGCTCAACTATGCACGCTCAAAGCCTTAAAATCATATTATTATCCTTCAGAAATTGAACAATGGGGGGTCAAGCAGTACTCTGTCTAAATAACTAAAAAAGAACATAATCATTTTCCTAAGAATTCTAGAAAAGATATCACTAATATACTCAGCAGCCAACTGTGGTTTTTGTCATTACAAAAGTAACACCAAGATCCTTGATTCAATCTGTTGCAAAAGAAAAGATATGACTAATATACTCGGCAGTCAAATGTGATTTTTTTATTGTAAAAGAACACCAAGATTCTCGATTACCTTCCCACAAGAGATCAAGATTCCATTCATGGTTGCAATAGCAAATATTGCGAAGGAATGACGTTAATAGAATTACTTGAAGTTGCCACTACAGGGTCCAATAAAAAAAAGATGTAGCCAAAAGGCCCAGGAGTTCACTGGTTCCTCTCCATAAGATGCAGAAACACAGAAATACAGAGCTTTATTAAACTATTTCCGCAATTCACATTGAGAGGGCTACAAATAAACATAGAGGGCTTAGGTACCAAGCTGTTTAATTGAAATCCATTTGGAACTCCTCAGGTATTCTTTCTAGCTGAAAAGAAAGACCAAAAGTTAGGATAAAAAATGAAGAGAAATATTATGCACTCCATCCAAAAGTTTCTAGATATCTTGCATGGCCATGGGCACCATAAACTGCTGTGGTCGCCAAAGAACAATCGAATACCAAAAGACAGGCAGTGAGGGGGTGACATAATGGAAGGGAATCCTTATAGCACACTGCACCTTCAATGCATTATTTTGTTAAGTCTACATAGGGACAATTGGAGATATAGGACAGTTCCCATGTAGATTACTGTCTCTCATGTAACCAGTCAGGTATCAGCCCTCACTAGTGATCAACTCCCAACATAATAGATTCCATATCCACAATTTGTCCCTTCAGTGGGGAAGACAGGTCCCTACCCGTTTTTCAATAGATTGGGGAGTTACAATTTGAAGGTGTTAATTGGGGGTGTCAATGGTAGGAATGGATACCACGATGTGGTAACTGAGTGTGGGGATGCTACCACCCCGACTCCAGCCCCCTTCCTATAAAGCGGTATGTCAATGGCGATTTGGGCCCCTACCCTTCGGTGAAAACGAAGTCAGAAAACTCCCCATAGGGCCCAGCAATACTTCCGCCAAGGCTCCAGGCGGTTCTCAAAAAAGGGGTAAGTCAGTGGGGATTTATGCCTTTTACATAGGATGGAGTAAATGAGATGGATGACATGGAAACGCATGTTCCATGCTCATGGTCTACATATGGTCAATCTACTTTGGGGTATAGAGTGGGTCTCTCTCTCTCTCGATTTCACAGGAATGAGTGAACCACTAATACAGTACATGAATCCGGTTGCCAAACTAAAAACCCATGGTCCTTGCTAGAATATTTGACCTGAAGCTCTCCTAACCAAACGTCAGCCAAAAGCCAAGATGGTGGGTGCTTTGATTATCATGAGATTCAAGTGTTGATTTCTGAAGGGGGTTTTTGGAAATAACCACATCTTTAGGCGTGTATGACTGTCATTTAACAGTGTCTGGAAGCGTGTGAAGGGTATGGCGTAGAGATTAACCACATCGATAACCTCTAAAGATAAGCTTTTAGAAGTGAAAACACATAACCAATTATCAGTTTTGAAAAGGATGAAACGATATATCCTCCTGATGAAAAGATCCATGAGCTAAGGTGTCAAAATCTTTGCAAAGACAAATGAACAAAGAAGTTGGGACAAGAACCAAATGGGTTTAGAAAAAAACAATTTATGAATCTCAAACTCAATGATATGTGATCATGTTGATTTGAATCTAGAGTATTGAAAGACAACAAGAAACACTATGATCATCAAAAGCACATCACCTCTTTCCTTCAGCATTAGAGGACTCTCTGTGAGCAACATATATTCTTGTCATGAAAATGTTTCAATCATTGCACATAACGGACATAAATTAAAGAAAAGACAAGTTACTAGATTCTTAAAGACAATAGACATTTTGAATTCAAACAGAACATAAAAGCCATAACCTATATAAGTTTTACAAACACAAAGAATTTAAACTTTGTTTAACTAAGTTATAGTATTCAACTCCAAACTGATTTGTTATCAACTGGAAAACAAAAAATGCCAATATTGAATATCCCCATATCCAAATGGTGAGATGGCATCTCGTACATTCATACAGAAACCATTACCCATTGAGATCTGCAATAACAATCGGAAAATGCTACATAATCACAAGGGTTCATATATCCGTCACGTGTATCCAGTGAGATCTGAAAAGCATTTGGAGATACTATACAATGCAGGGGTTCATTTACCCATCTCATAATTCTTTCTTTTCATTTGAAATATTTTCATCTTACAACTCTATACAACAACATTTACAGATCACTTGATCGAGTCCAAAGACTCCGGAGGAACCTACGAGTTTGTGGTCATCTGATCTCCCTATGCGTACTTCTCTGCTTTAAAGATCCTCTCCTTGGATACTTTCCTGGTTTGTTGAAGAAGAGAAATGATTGTACATTCAAAAGTATCGGTGAGGAGGACGCAAGTAATAGAGTGGATCTCTGAAGAAGTCCCATGCATGGGGAGATGAATCTTAAATTGAACAGTCGCTCCCTGAGGAACTCTGGTAAGTTGAAAGATGGAAGTCCAAGGTAAGGTGCAGTTTAATCAAGGATGGAGTGAGCACAGTTAAAAAGTAAACTAGGTGATAAGACACTTGTGTCTGCAATTGACATTGTAGACTACAAAAGGATGAAACAAAAACTCCCTCACCTCTTCGAGGTCAAGATTTCTATTTACTTAGATAGTCCTCTGATTGTGGAAAGGCATTCAATAAAAAAGAGGAAAATGGATTCACTAAACATGCTTTGGGAGAGTACTATGAGATCCCTAGGACACAGGAATCTCATTCTAGAATGTGCAATGGAAGCCAAACATATTGCTCCCTCATCCTGAAGTAGAATAGAAAATCTAGAGAGAATGTAGGAGTATGTGGGATTGTCCCCCCTTCCTACTCATAAAATGCCTCTTTTGTATCATTTCTTCCTCCAAAATCAAGTTCTTTATAAAATGCTAGTTACATAGCACTCAAATAATAGAAATGAAAAGAAAAAGTTTTTTATGGATATGGATTTATATTACAAGAATAAAAATATATTACAAAATGGTTAACCAAAGGAGAACAAACAAGGTCATAATTGAATCAAGAAGCCATAGACCAGTAATGTTAAATATGGGTCTGTCTGTGATAACACAGTCATAAATAAGCACACTGTATAATTAGTTGCATTGCTACTAACATATTCATAGAAACCACAGAGCATTCTCAGGCAAAATCAATTGTATTGATGCCAGCAAATTCATATGGAACACTGATTTAAATTTCTGTGGTTCAATTCCGACTGCAAATAAATATTTGCTACCTTAGAATGAGGTAATCATCAAGAGTACAAGTAAATTCCATTTTTGAAGATGTAAAAACAAACTGCTAAATTATAATTCCACAAAAAACTCACAATGTCCTGCTGTAGGGAAATCTAAGGGGCAATTTGTACTCATTGCACAATGTTTTTATTTAACAAATCTTCCTAAAAAATGGGATCCATAATTATAAAAAAATTTATTTGTTTTCTAAGTGCCAAAATACAACCCATACATTAAGCTTTCTAATCTGTCATGAAGCTTTCGAAAATGACAACATCAAAAAAAAATAAAAACCTGTGACACGTGGTGATGTACAAAAATTGAACTACACAGTAGATAAAAATCATTTAACAGAATTTTAGTTCCATAACATGCACACATTACACAAAGATAGTTTGAGCCATGATAAACTAAGAACTCCAAATACATCATCAGAAACTAGACGACACCAAAAAAGCAAACCACAAAATGGTTGAAGGTCAAACACAAATTTCGTTGATAATCAAACAAACTACAGGTCCTGTCTAACCCACAAACAGTTTAAGATCATTAACAACTTGAAGATATTTGACTGATGGCAGCATGCCACAAAAGGGCCCACTCGTCACGCAGGTTTCACAAATACTAAAATGCATTCCATACACAAGAATTTTCACGCTGTCTTAACTAGAAACAAGAAGACCCGTATTGTAAACTCAAATACCAAACCATATCATCTATCCAAAACCACCATCCAATAAAACTGTAAACACTTCACTTATGCAACCAAAGCTATAGGGAGGGAATCTCCTTGTTGACGATTTGCAATGCATGCTAAATAACCCCAATAACATGGGTCTAATTGGCACGACCTCTAATAACATCCAGGCCCATTTCAGTGGGATCAGTTGCTTGCAACTCAACCTGAATACCGTCAAGTTCCCTCTTGAATCTGTCCTTGGAGCTAGCATACAACATCTTACTTCTCACCTTCGCTATATCAGGGGACCTGTTTAAAAACCCAAAAAGAGTGGCATATTATAAATTTCACGAGTTGAGTGGGTGGTAACTTAATTGATGTAGAATTCCATAGAGCACACTGATTTATAATATGTTTTTAAGGATGGAGAATAAAAAACGAGTGAGGCTTACCATGCAATGAAGAAAATCTTGCTCTTCTGGCAATTTTCTTCTGTGACAAAGTCAAAGTCATAAACTGCATATCGACACTCATTTGCTGGGAGGCTTGCTGTGAACGCCTCATAACCATCAGTTGGCTCCCCGAGCTTTTCAACAATCACCTGCTTGAGCTTCTCCTCAATCTTGAAAACTACATAGCGGTAAGTTCTCTTTGCTTTTAATTCCAAGAACTTTAACTTGCATTCATCATTGACTGCCATCCCTGATGCCGCATTGGCCTGCAGAGTTGACGCAAATATGCCATATCATAGTTTCAAAATTTTGTCAAGAAAATCATTCAAATGAAGAGCCTTCACGCCTTCGTTAGAGTAAAACAAACATCAGCTATTTCACGTTGGGCATAAACAGCACCCTCATATGAACATCGATAGTATCATTAAAAGAAATGCAATAACTCTAAAACAAAAACCTGCCAAATTCAATTTCATAATAAAAGTCCAAATTGAGTGTACCTACTTAATCCTAAAACTAACAGGACTATAAAGAACTATTGAAAAGCAAAACGAAAAAAAGGAATTGAAATATATCTGAAACAAAAAAAAAAGAATATGAAAGACGTTTTTAACCAAAAAGGAAAACAAAAAAAGTTAGCTCAAATAACAAGTCAACTGCATTAGTCACAAATCACCTCATGTCAGACAAATATGCAACCTGCTCCTTTCTAATCCATCAAATGAATTCAATTTTTCCTTACAAGGCAATATCAACTAACACCACTAAATTTGATTCGGAACTCCAAGTTCAGGATGCAGATAATGATGCCATAGAAAACAAGCATCAAGCACATCCAGATGCCAACACAATAGTGAATCACATCACAGAAGAAGATAACTAGCATAGAAGACAACAAAGTGAGGAAATAAAAAAGATAGATACCAGGATTCAATTCATAACCTAAAACTATGGTACCACAAGATCTCTGGATCGATAAAAAACAAAAAAAACAAAAAAGGCAAGTTTTCATAGAAGTTTCAGTATTCATCAGACAATAACTTGAACCATTTATCAAAATCTTTTCATTCATAACCTAAAACTATGGCACCACAAGATCTCTAGATCGATAAAAAACAAAAAAAAACAAAAAAGGCAAGTTTTCATAGAAGTTTCAGTAACTTGAACCATCAGACAAAAAAACCAAAAAAGGCAAGTATTCATCAGACAATAACTTGAACCATTTATCAAAATCTTTGATCTGAATCCAAGGTGTCCCACTTGGACCGGTGCAATGAGAATAATGGAATAAATATCACAGGTATAGAGAAATTAAAATAGTTGAAACACTTGATCACAAGGACAACCTGTTCCGGACATAATAATTGAAAAATCATCAGCAGACAGACATAGGTTCAGAATTTATAACAACCAGTCATCAAATTTTCTAACAGTAAACACCAGTCAACATGTTCCATGAATAAAGAAGAAAATCAAGCATTTTAGAAGGCAAACAAATAGATGTGTCCAGAAACGGCTTTTACTAACACATCGAAGACCCCTAGAAGTCAAATAATCACATAAACCCTATCCTTTCAATCTGCAGAAATCCAGGGTTAACTGCATTTACAGTCATCTATAGTCACATTTAGTCCAATACAAACAAACAAGCATCTAAAAAAGAAAAAAAAGAGGGTCAAATGATACAAAAAAATACGCAATTGAAAACATCTTCAACTTGTAGTAGAGAACGCAATAAAGCAATGCTCAAATAAAACACATTATAGCTCCATCGGATAATGTCCTATAAGAAATTCCCTACAAAATATGCCACAAAAATGAAAAAAAAAAAAACGAACACCACAAATCGAAAGAAGATTCCCCAGAAGAAAATCACTAGATAATCCATTACAACCAGATACACCAAGAGAGAGAGAGAGAGAGAGATAAAGACAGGGAAGGACAGAGAAGAGTAATTACATCAGATCTCAAAAGCTAAACACACAGATGCAGAGCAACTAAACCAAAACCAGCCCAAACCCTAGTTTCAAGCAAATCAAGGATCGGATCATTCGCAGATCAATCAAGCAAGAGCAACAAACCAAACACGCCAAAACAAACCCTAGTTTCAACCGCAAATAAGGGGAGAACTCACCATTATTGCCGATCAAAGAGGAATCGCGGGGATTTTGCAGAGAGAGAAATAAATAGAAAGGCTAGAGAGATAAGAGGAAGAAGAGAGAGAAAATTAGGGCAAGGAAACCTGAAATCAGGAGGGAGGAGGCTTGGGTGCAGTGATGAGGACTCGTCCCCTCTCTGTCATTTTGATGGCTCTCTTGGGATGGTCATGACCACCGTCATGGATGACCATGCCATGACTAAAGCATTGATAAACCAATCGGAGACGGCCACGTCATGATGCCGTGTTTATCATGGATGACTCGGTCGAGCAGCGCCACAATTGATTGTTGGAGTCGGCTGTTCTGATCGCAATAATATCCGTCGATTTTTTTAAAGGACGCGAAAAACCGTAAAAATTAATTGAAATAATGACTAAAATGGCCTTGTTCTAATTTTAAATGCTAAAAACACCTAAAAGTTGCGTGTTTGCGTTTTGCCAACTACTTTCCTGCTCTTCCCTTCGCATGGGTGGGTGATGGGTATGGTCAGCCCTCCAACTCAACGGGTCGGCCCGTCTTGTGTTCAGGATTGGGTGTTGTTCTTGGACCCAATGAGTTACGTCTAGGTACCGAGGGACTCAACATCAGGTCGGGTCGGGTCGGGTGGGTTGGGTTTGGGTCTACATCGACATGACCCAAGTATTATAGATGTATTATTTATTTTATTATATGACATAATTTTTAATATAATGTATTGTTATATGATATTTTAGTATAATTTAGGGAAAATATCTCGATACCTTATATTTTTAGGTTTCATTTCAAAATAGACTTAAGGTTTTAAAAGATATCTTGGGACACAAAAATTGTAGATTTTATTTTTTCAAACTCTAAGCTACTTTAAAGCTGTTTTTTAGGCTAAATAAATTTAAAAAGATATGTTTTTTTTAAAAAAGAAAATATCTTATTATCCTTTATTTTTGAATTCTATATCTCACACTCAAGGATTGAAAATATTACTTGGAAGCAGAATATTTCCATCTTTTCTATCTTACAACTCCCTAGACCCCTTTGACCATCAATTTTTAATCCAAACAAATACTAAAATTTCACCCTCTCCAAATTTTTTTCTTTTCCGCTAACATTCTCTCTCTCAAATCATCATCTCTCTCTCAATTCCATCTCTCTCTAAAACCCAAAGATACAGAATAGTTCCTCTCTCTACATCGTCTCTCTTCTCTCTCTAAAAATTATCTCTCCTCTCTACTTCGTCTCTCTCCTCTCTCTCTAAAAATTATCTCCCCACTCTACATCAACTCTCTTTGCAAAAATATATCAAAGTATGTATCTCCCCACTCTACATCGACTCACCTTACAAAGACATATCAAAGTATGAGACTGACGGTACCAGTTTGGCATAATTCTTCTCTCACTAAAAATTATCTCCCCTCCCTATATCGACTCTCTTTGCAAAGACATATCAAAGTATGAGACTGGTGGTACCAAGCATAACTTAAAGGGAATTTTTAGAAAGAGAGAGGAGATATATGATGTAGAGAGGGGAACTTCTATACAACTTTTGGTTGTAGAGAGAAATGGAGTTGAGGGAGAGACGGTGATTTGAGAGTGAAAAAACGTTAAAGGAAATTTTTTTTTTTTTAGAGGGTGTCATTTTAGTGTTTTTTTGTCATGGTCAAAAGGAAGTTGTAAGATAGAAAATATAGAGAACTTGTGCTTGCAAGTAATATTTTTAATACTTAGGTCTCATGAGATATATCGAAGTCAAAATAAGGGATAAGGAGATATTTTCTCTTTTTTAAAAGCCATCATCCAAAAATTCTCTCTTTTTTTCTTTTATGTAGCCCTTCTCTCTCCATCTTTCTCATCTCTAACCCTTCACTCTCTATTCTGCTTTTTCTCTCTTCACATTTCCCATCTCTCTCCCCTTACTCTATCATCTCTTTACGTTTTCGATCTCTCTCCCCTCACACTTTCCTCCCAAATACACAGTAAGTATATGAAGAGAATTCCTATTTCTAACTTTTCACTCTCTCTCATCCCGCTCTCTCTATTTACGTTTTTATCTCTCCCCCACTGTCTCCTCCCAATTACACAGTAATTACATAGTAAGTATACGTTTCTATCTCTCCCCCACTTTCTTCTCCCAAATACACAGTAATTACATAGTAAGTATACGGAGAGAAAGAGAAGTGTTTGGATAAATACATGAAGAAAGATGTGTTTTGTGAGATGTGTTTGGTGAAGTGTTTGGATAAACACAGGAAGAAAGATGTGTTTGGTGGACATAGGAAGAAAGATGTGTTTGGTACACAGTAAGTATACGGAGGGAAAGAAAAGTGTTTAGATAAACACAAAAAGAAAGATGTGTTTGGTGGTAAGAGGTTACTGGGAGGAGAGAAAAGGACAAGAAAAGAAAAAGAAGTATTTGGATAAACACGAGAGGAGAGATATACTCGATGGTAAGAGGTTACTGGGAGAGATTGGGGTATATAAATGAAGGGAAATGTTTCTATGCTTCCCTTACAACATAAAAGTTCTATAGAAAGAGAGAAGTTTGGGGTATATAAATGAAGAGAAAGAAGGGATTGGGTTTAAAAAGAGCATGTCATTCTTACATTTGTTTAGGTTAAAAAATAGATTTATAGTGGCCAGGAGTTGGAAGATATTTTTTGGAATATTGAGTTTATTAAGAAATAAAATATATATATAAAAAAAAGATATGGAAATATTTTCCCTATAATTTAGTATAATTTATTATTAGTATAAATAAGACTAATAAGTTTTCATCTATAGACTTGGACCCCACCCAATCCCATAACTATCCTTCCGGAGTCAACGCGGACCCATACTAATTGGGTCTGGGTTGGATCTAACTTAGACCTAGTTGGGTTGGGGTCAACCCGGACCCAACCCAATCCCATACCCATCCTTCCAGAGTCCGTAATGGCAGTCATGCTCTTCATTAATACCTTTATATTATTTCTAGGTTCATTGTGTTGATCCGCATGAGGTTATCAAAGAGTAGATTTCTCTAATTGAATTCAGGCCCCTAGTCTCCCACTATCACCGCCCAACCCATTGGATGGTGATAAGAGGCACAATCATTATTGTCTAGGACAAATTATGTGATGGGTGTGTTTTGTATAAAGCAATGTGTCAAAAACCTGAATCGATGGGTTGTATTGTTAAGGGAAAATAATTTTTTACGCTTCAATTTTAAATTTTTTTATCTTTTTGAACCTAAGGATGAAAAATATTATTTGCAACAACCACTTAAATTTTTTTTTTAAGTGAATTTTTGACCCAATAAAAATGAAAATGACATCACCTCTTGCATGTCAAGAGAGGTAGAGAAACTCAAAGAGAGAAGCAAGAACCCCATCGGTCAACCTACACAGAGACAAGGGAGAAAGGAAGAGGAAAGAGCCAAACTAGAGAGAGAAAGGAGGAGGAGAGAGAAACTGGGCGAATGCAAGGAGCCCTATTTCTTCGCTCTTCTATCCATAACCGGACAAAGCGCGAGCAAGAAAGGATAAAAGTGCAGGTGCTTGCTTAGAGAGAGAGAGAGAGAGAGAGAGAGAGAGAGCCCACTATTTGACTCGGAGATTGAGATGTACTATAGAGAGAGAAAAAGCTCAGGCGGTTGCTTACAGAGGAAGAGAGCCGAGTGTTTGACTCGAGAGAGATAAAGAAAACCCATATCCCTTGCTTCCCGAGAGACTGCCATTTTCAGAGGGAGAGAATAGAGAATAGAGCAGGGAGGAAGCCCACATACAACTTGAGCGCCTCCCCTCCTTGCCGGGGCCTCGGCTGCCAACGACACTAACCACGGATCCCTGACGTCAAAGGTACCTGGCACAACACAAGTCGCAGCTCAGCTCAGCTGCCACCTCCCCTCCCCTTTCCCCAAATCTGTCTCCCCTTACATTTCCCGGCCCGTCAGAGAGCGCGACCACCGCCTCTTTTATAGCACCCCTCACCCCCCAAATTCAAACCCCAAGCCCAGCAAATTCTCAATTTTGTCCTCCATTTTTTGCCCCAAACCCCAAATATCTAGGGTTTCTTCCTCTGGGATGAGAGTTTTGGTTTCAGAATCTAGAGTTCTTGTTTCATTTTTTTCTTCTTTTGATATGAAAGAGAGAGAGTGAGTGAGAGAGAGAGAGAGTTATTTCGTCTCTTTTTTATTATGGTTATTGATTTCACTTGATGTATAGACAGAGGGAGTGAGAGATCAGAGACATGTGAACATTAAGAATTAAAGTGGATTTTGCTTCTCTTTCTTCAGGCTAGTTTTTTAGAGAGAGGGTCTATGAGAGAGAGATATTTGCAGTTAGAGAATGAATTAGGAGTTAGAGGGAGGGACTAATTTGCAGTAAGAGAGAATGAATTGGGAGTTAGAGAGAGAGAGTGAACTCGGAGTTGGTTCAGTGAAGAAAAGCCATCTACGAGAGATAATCACGAAATCGTGACTGTCAGAGAACAGTGAGACATGGAGCGATGGAATGAGAGATCATTCCCCTCAGAAGGAAAGGACCCAAGGGTGAGATCATTCCTTCCCTCTTTCTAAAAATACCACAAACGAAGCCTTTATAAGATAGGATGTTGTTTAAATTTTTATTGGATAAAAAATTTATCAAAAAAAAGATTTAAGGGATTGCAAGACAGAAAAAATAGAGATCCTTTGCTTCCAAGTAATATTTTTCATCCTTATATAAAAATGAAAATTAAGGAGTAAAGAGATATTTTTCCTATTGTTTATCTCACACATCTATGTCAGATTACTGGATGGATGATTTGGATTAGTCTAAATTGATGATAACATAATATTAAAAAATAAAATAAATAAAATACAAATTAGAATTGGGGTTTATAGGTTATAGATTTAGGGAAACTTAAAAAAACATTTGATAAGCTTAAAAAAAAGAAAAAAATAAATAAAAGGAGGGGTTTTTAGAAAGGAACTAAGCTAGGACCTATACCATCCCTGAATCGGTTTCATTGTCGGAACCTTTATAATTGTCTAAAAAACTATTTTCATCCCAAATTGAAAATGGCTTATTTAGACAATGTGTTATAAGATGCACTATTTTTAAGGTTTGAAATCTTTATTTCTTTCATATCTATGTATAACAATGTTAAGATGATCAACTACATGGTCAGAATAACCTTTCTGAGTGGAGTTTTAAGGTACACCTTACTTCTATAGTATAAGGTTGATGCATTATTTACCATTTTATTTTATTTTTTTGTTATGTAATCCCCCTTATAACAAAGGCCTCATTTCAAAAGTCTACTTACCAATTTTCGATACTATTTTTATTCTCATCAACCCTAAAGATACCC